AAAATAGTGCATATTGGACGTGAAGAAGGGAGCAAGTTGCACGTGGGGAAAAAACGCGCCTGATTTAAATGTCACACCTGAACGCTCACATCCGTTTAATTATGTTTGAAATTATGAACATTGCTCAACATCATGAAAATTAAACCTTATTTTCAATAAGCAATCCTGAAAAATATTTGGGGGTGCATAACTTTTTTCCAGGTGTATATTTCACCATGCGCATCCATCTACAATCAGGGTGAAAAGACTGCATGGATGACTACTAACTGTTTGACTTCCCGTCCCGAGAAAGATATGATTACACTCTGGTAGAAGGGATAACACACTGAAACTTTTAGCTATTTACAATGGTTCTTGTTTCAGTCAAATGAGAAAAAGAAGATGTTTTCTCTGATTAAAATCAGCTACACTGGACATTAAATGTAAAAAAGGAAACAAAAACCACACAGGTGGTGTACATAAAGGAGTTATAAATAATGAGTTATTGCAATTAAACAGTCATTTTGTCGTTGGTACAAAACTCTTGTAACGGTTTTTATTGTTGGGCGGGTTCTTTCGGGTATTGCGTAAATATGAAGAATCTAAAGTCCAGTCCACTTAATGCTAAAAACAATCGATTCATTTATTTGATACAAGTTCTAATGTCCCCCTGATGGGTGAACGGTAAGGTTACAGACTTAGAACATTAAAATTCGGGGGTCAATTAAACGCGATGAACAAACTGTAGAGTCCATTGTGTAGCCTTATACTGAGAAAAACAGCGCAACAAAAAATTGTTACGTTTACAAGTTCAGCGATTTTATGTATAATTAACAATAAGACTAACTTTATAAATAAATAAAGGGTAAACAGATATTCCACTTGCTAATTTTGTATCTCTACCCAAAATTGACATTACTGAACTAATTAACCGGCTGTCAGCAACATACAAACTGACTAAATCATGCACTGATTGTTCGTTAACTAATAGATTCACTAAATCCACAATAAAATAATTTACTATAAAAGACTCACACACTAACTCTAGCCTAACTCACTCTTTACTTTGGAGAAAACTTTAGAAATGAAGCCACACACTCATCATGTGACGTCAAACCTCTCTCTGGTCAAATAAGAATACAAACGTCGAAATTAAAAACATATCCTACAACTCTGCTCATTTCTTGGAATGTAAAGTCTCTTGCCTATTACAGAAATAAGACAATGGGGTATTATATATAGAGATTACAACAATTAAATTGTGTGAAATAAAGAAAAAATCAAAATGCTGATTAACATAACAATATCTTCTTATTTTGCTCATTTACTGCCCAATCACCAAATCTGTTTTGGTCGTTTTCATTTCCGTGGCTCATGTCCTTTATCACCACTTGCCATTTTGCACTGGAAGATCTCTTCAGGTTCGAGGAAATTCACTGGTAATTCTACCTTTGGCGATATTCTGGAAATGATTTCGACGTGACTCCTCAGTAGGTTGCCTTATTTCTGGCGAAGAATTCTCTGAAGCTAACTAGTTGGCCATTCTTCTGCTGACGTACCTTTAAAAGCAATCATCAATTTTGACCCTTGGCTTGAACCACCTGTCTTACACCTTAGGCTGATTGTGTTCTTCATCTTGTGTAATTGAAAATTCATCCTCTTTTGAT